ATATGACATTGAAGAGAGGGAGGGTATCATGAGGAGAAATAAATCTGGGGAGGATTAAGCAAGTACTGGCGGGAATCTTCCAAACCCCAGCTCTGCTAACCGCATTCTGAGAGGCCCAAGAGATTCAGCCAATTATTCCAGTTGTTTCAGAAGGAGAGAATAGTGTGGTATTGCTCACACTCGGGCAAGCACACAGCAAGGGAGCCTGGGTTGGGGGGGGGGGGGGGCGGGGGGGGGGGGGGGGGGGGGGGGGGGGGGGGTGGGGGGGGAGGCCGAAGAGAGTTAAAGGAACCGGAAGGAACAAATGGATGTTTCTCCTTTAACAGCAACAAACTTCTAGGCACAAAGACTAAGGAGGAAACATCCAAAAATACCTCTGGGATGTTTGGAGGTCAGGAAGACTCCTACCTCAACTCCTTGCAGAAAAATTCAGAAATACAAATGCAGCCAGCCCAACTGCATGAGAATGGGGAAGAAGCCTGGGGAAGCCTGGGGAAGCCCGGGGAAGTCCTTGGTTCTAGGCTACATGTCTGCCCCAGGTAAGCTCCACCAGGAGGGATTTCATGTCCACATATGAACAGAGGGAGAGGTATGCCAAGTAGTGATGTACAGGTGCCCATCATCTGTGACTGGCGTTTGTTCCCCGTTTAGAGACCTTATTCATGAGACCTCTCCTCTATATACTGAACTGAAAACGAATCTCATGTGCCACCTTCCTCTACACACAGCTTTTTTTGTTGTTTTTGCTGCTGCTGCTCTTGTGGATTTGGCAATGCTGGGGATAGAACCGAGAGCCTCATGAATGACCGGCAAGTGCTCCACCCTGGGCTGTTACTACATTCCCATCCCCTCCATACATTTTCATACAGATATTCTACTTTAAAAAAATCCCTGCATATCTAACTCCCTTTGCTTCTTCAAGGACCTTCAGGAATATTCTAGATCATATATTTCCAGTGAGATACCACCACTCCTAAGGAGGTGAAAATTGATTCTTGAGTATGTAAGAAAACCTTGATATTACAGTGTTGTGTGCCCTTGCAATGAGCCAGCATACATAAATAGATGTACTGAGGCTATGCTATGAAAATTTCACAGGATAGGGTAAGGGGGATTTTAGGAAAACATTTTTAAACTTCCTATAGACTCACAATTTCCTAAATATGGAGAAACTGTTAAAGGTAAAGCATCCTACCAGAACACCTGATTCCAGAGCCCATGTCCAGGACAACTTGTGAGCTGCAGGGTTTAGCCTCGTAGTTCATATGCCATCTCTGTCGGGTGTGAGTCAAGGGACTCTGTACAGATAAACTAGGCTGAATAAACATGCGCTGCCCCAAATGCAGGGCATTTAGTTACTCAGTGAGAGGCCACTGGGTTTCTGTTGAAAACTAGTTGGTGAAAACTAGTTGGCAGACAGTTCTCTGTAGGCTTCTTGTATCTCTGAGCATTTCATGATGAAGCGCTGACAAGATTGTTTGCAGATAATCTCAGCAGACTCTTTGTAGAGTGACAGCCATTTTAGATAAAAAACAGTGTCTGTCTTGGAGGAGGGGTGAATTCTTGTTTCTTGACCAGGGTAGTGAAGATAATGTCTTTTCCAGGGCAAAGGCTGGTCATGTTGGCTAGAAGCTTCTTTGTAAGATTGGGGTTTCCCTATCCTTGATTTTCCTTGGCTAGTATAAATTGACTCAATGCCTACCATGTGGCCACGCCCATCGTCCCATTTCCCAGTATTCCACGTGAGTCACAGAGAAGGACCCAGCATGAAGTTGGTGCTCATGTTTTCTACCCACGGTATCTTGTCTTCCACTAACATCTGCGAGATGCAGGAAGGCAAACTTGTTGGCACAATCCTCCATTCTTTGTGGTCTGGAACAAAAAAAAAAAAAAAGAAAACAATGTCCCCCCCCCTTTTTTTTTTAAATTAGTGAAGACAGTGGAGGAAACTCTCTTTCTTTGGTACACATTTCCCCCTCATCTCAGAGAAGAGTAAGCCACGCCCCCACAGGTCTGCATTTAGAATGAGGATGTGGAGAAGTTGACAGCTTTGTCTCAGCCAAACTTGCCATGTGGCGGGGCCGTGGCTGGCACAGACTTCTCTTCCAGTCAGTTTTGCAGAACCGTTGGGGAGGGAAGTGGAGCACAGGTAACCGTAGAGAGAGCAGAGTGGGAAGGTCGGCTCCAGCTCTGCATGGCGTCACAGCTTCGTGCCAGTGAAGTGGGACCTCTGAGTTCAGTAACAAGTTAAATTTAGACCGAGAGAAAAAGATCAATAAACAAAAGCAGATTCCTTCTGTCTTTTAGGTGTCCCACATAGAAAAATGAGTACACGTGCCTTCAATCTGGGAGTGTGGCTTCAGTGGGAGATGGGGGTGTAATGTACGTTATGTTGGTCGATGGCCACGTGCTGTTAGAAGCTAGCTCTCAAAGCAGGGTTTGAGCTGCCCCCTGACCCCCATTTCAGGGCCGAGTTATGTTTGTCTCAACATGTCCTCCAAGACCCCTTGTCCGAGGATAAGCTGGCCCCACAAATTCGGGGAGGAAAGAGAACAGCAAGCCCGCCCAAGAGCAAATGCACTGTCCTTGAAAACAGGTAGCCGGGAAACCATTTCCAACAGAGACCACTGTTGTTTATTCTGCGATCTAAAGGTGCCAGCACTGGGAATGGTTCAACCACAGGTTCAACCATGGGAAGCTCAGCCCCGGACCGGAATCTTAATTGAGAACTCCAGCTGGTGCTCCAGCTTCCCTGGTCCATTTCTGCTGGATGTTTGTAACCCTGCCCCCCAACCCCCACGCTGTTTTTGCATGCTCTCCCAGCCAGGCTACTCCGTTCAGCTCGGCTGGATGTTGTGAACTCCTGATCCCCCCGCCTCACCTGCTTCTGTCTACCCATCTGCTACTTGCTTTTCTTTTTATACTTTTGTTCACTATAGACTTAACTCACTTATCAAAGCCCAAAGCATGGCTATTATAGACCATTTTCCAGGCTATACAAAACAGGGGACATGAAGCAAAAGAAAGGGGAGAGGAGACCAATGTAGAAGTGGACCCTTGGGCGGCACCCATCCAAAGTTTATGCTGATGGACTTACTAGGTAGGAATCAAGTGATGGAATTAAATGGTAATTCGCAATGGACTTTGAGTGTATTCATGTACATTACATATTATTTCTTTAGTATGAACTATATGTAACATTAATATTCTAATGTTGACTAATGATTATGAGGAGGCAATACATCCTAGGCACAAAAATAGTATATATAGTGTCCCAACTATACAGTAACTCACCCTTCTCAACAACTCACTGAGGTATGGCCTCTGTCCTTGCCGTTACAGTGTTGAAGAAAACAGTCAGAAAGACAAAAACAGTGGCATGCTCACAGACAGAGTTAAGTATATAGGTCCCGAGCTCCCAATCCTGGCCATTGTAACTCCATACTTTTTCTCCAACACTCTTATCTATTGCTCTTGACATCCCCAGGACTCCTGTCCTCCACCTAAAGTTGATATCAGAATACGAACATTCATTCGGATAGTGTTGACTGAATCTCAAGTGTTCTGGTGCTATTGAGCCACACTTCTCTGGTAGTTCAGCCCTGTGACACTTTTGACAGAAAACTAAGACAGCTGCCCTTGTCATTTTTTTTTCTTTTACAATATCAGAATTTATTGCATAACAAGAAATGCACAAGGTATGGCAGCTTGACTGACAGCTCTGTGCCAGGCCCTCTGGACTTCCTTGCTAAGCCTGGTTGGGGCAAACACAGGTTTATTCCTGTAAGTAGTCTTTCTTACTAATACCAGCTCTCTGATCATAGATAACATGTCACACAGCAGTGTGTGTGTGTGTGTGTGTGTGTTTTACAGGATGGCAATGGTGAAAGAGGCAAAGCGTTTTGAAGGCCAGAGTTGACCTAGCAGGGTGTGAAGTGAAGGGCAGCATTGGGTCTGAGCATGTGCAGGTGGGTGGATGGCAGGTCCAGGTGGGCAAATAGGATTGCAGGAAAATGGTAATTCTAGGAGGCCACGTGACCAGGGGAGCCCAAGCTGAGCTGAAGTTTCTGAAAGGGTTTATGGTTCTCTGCCAGATGCTTCCTTGATACTCATAGCAAGCAGGTGGTCAGATCACAGACAAGTGAGGACTGACCCCAGCCCACTGCTAAGTGTCCACCTCTTCATGGGGTCTGGGTAAGGGAGTGACATCCCTTCTCTCACTTTTCTGATAAGTCCTTGGACCTGGTTCCCTTGATATGGTTTTAATACACATATGTGATCCGACAGTCCTAATTAACCCCGGTAAGTCTATGGGGTCACTTCCTTTCTCCTCCCAGAAATAAGTCAATATCACTTTGTGCCATGTAGGTGGTGGTGTATGGATGGTGTCAATCAGGGGTCCAACCAGGTACAGAGTCATTCCTCATCCTCAAAATGGAATCAAAGTTGCTTGTGAAATGGTGTCTCTCAGGGCAGGGCATAGTATGAATAATCACTGTTCAATACAACATGGAGTAACTTAGAGAAGGGACCGGCCTGATCTCCACGTTATAGTTATCCCCTTTGAGATGATTTTAAGGCCTGTACACCATAGAATCCACCTATAGTACATACCATTTAAAAGAAAAACAAATACAAGATTGTTGTTAATTATTTGAGATTCTCATACAAACATAGAATGGAATTTGAGTCTATCTACCCCACTTTTCCTTGAATTTCCAGCTCTTCCTTGAATTGCCATTCTTAAGCCTGTTTATGCCAGGCAGTGGTGGCGCACGCTTTTAATCCCAGCACTCAGGAGGCAGAGGCAGGTGGATCTCTGTGAGTTTGAGGCCAGCCTGGTCTCCAAAAGGCACAAAGCTACACAGAGAAGCCCTGTCTCAAAAAACAAAAAACAAAAAAACCCAAAAAACAAAAACAAAACAAAACAAAAAAACACACAAAAAAGCCTGTTTATACTGAAAAGTTGCTTTTTATTGATTGATTTATTTGTTGCTTTCCTTTAATTAATCTGTCTGCTGAATTCTTTGTTGTCTTGATGAGTGAGGTTGGTCACTTGATTTAGAACTCAGGGAAGCTGATTGGCTGCAAGATATCTTTGTATTGTCCTTTCACTTTCCTAAAAATCCCAGAGTACTCTGAATTGAAAAGTTGGCCAAGCAAAGGCAGGTGGTGGCTGGGATCCAGGGAGTCACGTTGGGGCTGCCATTATGAGTGGATGACCTTGCTTTCCTCAACTCATGAAGGTAGCAGGAGAACAACAGCTTCTCAATGTGGTTCCGCGGGGGTACCATGACGTAGAGAGTCTGATGGCTTTAGCAGACTGTCAGAAGTGTTCAGAAAGTGGCTTGAGTTGTCATTATTGTTCCCATAAACAGAGCTCCCGTACTGAGTCCCAGAAAGACTTATGGGACTCAGAGAGCCCACAGCATCCTAAGACTGTCTACATAAAGCCGTCTACACAGATCCCTGGGCACTGCTCTCAGCAGGCACCCATAGATCCGCAGGGTTCCTAATGCAGACACTCACCAAATTATGTTCATAATTCCTGGTTTATAATAAAAGTTTCAAAGAATCCGACGAAGAGAAGAGAAACCTTATCTCCAAACTGCATTTGTGGTGTGTGTGTGTGTGTGTGTGTGTGTGTGTGTGTGTGTGTATGTATGAGTATGTATGTGAGTATGTGTGTGTGCATGGGTGTGTCTATGTGAGTGTGTGTGAAAGTGTGGATGTGAGTGTGTGTAAATGTTTGTGTGTGTGTGTGTGTGTGTGTGTGTGTGTGTGTGTGTGTATTTAGGCAAGGTTGTATTTCAGGTCTTCCACATAGATTTCTTTTTCTTGAACAGATTTTGCATGAGGAAGTGAGAGAGGACATAATCCTGACTTGACAGAGCCACCATACCTTCTCTGCCTTGATAAAACTGTGAGCCCAGATAACCCTTTCTCCACAGAGCAGATGCTTGTCAAGTATTTGTGTTGTGAAAAGTTACTACTGAAGGAAGCTGGTGCCAAGAAGTGGGGCATTGCTCCGATAAACCTGATCCAGTGTTTCCGGTCTTCAGAGCTTGTTTGTGGAAGGAATGTGGAAGAGTCTGTAGCCATAAAAGCCAAAGATGCCACAGATCACCACAAGGAGAGCATAATGGTAGGAGTTCAGGGACCAGAGTGATGATAAAATGTGAGCTCTGACAGCTGTGATGGTGAGATTTCAACAGATACTCTATCAGAAACTGTGAGCTGGAAGCAGCTGTAGACAGAGCCATTGGGTAAATGTGACCAGAGTCACCTGTAGCTTAAGAGGAAGCTGATCCCAGCAACACTCAAAGGCATCCAGGCAAAGCACATCGTATTTCAGGCTGCTGTTCACAACATCCAAATACTATATGCAGTTCAGTGTGGGGATTTTGAAGGGAAAGGTCGGGAGAGATGATGGGCACAGTGTGCACCCAGAAGTACTACTTCCTCTTCCCTCCATCTCTCCTTTTGTTCTCCACCATTGGCTCTGAATATGAGTTACTGCCATGAAAGCCAAACATTTAGGCAAATCCAATTCAGAAGGTGGTTGTGAGCAGAAGGCTCGCTACACGCCTGCAGTGGACTCTGCCCAGCAGCTGTTCCCAGTTCCTCAGCCACTGGGAAGTGATTGAATCACAGGTCTCCTAGCTGCAGATCTATGTCTAACAAGAGGAATAAACGAAACTTCATAAATGAGGATTTGGCTCTATGTGTCACCTGGAGCGGCAGAGTGAATGGTCTCTACAATCCATCAGCCACTGAGTGCAAGGAGATGTATGTGACAACTGACGTTCAATCCATCACATGCCTGCCGTTCTAGCTGCAAAACAGTGGAGAAACAATCTATATCAAATAACACTGGCCTGTGATTTTGACCTTACTGGCCAATGACCATGCAGAATAGCGGCCAGTTACCTTTAATAAAACAACCTGACATCTAATCTAAGGATGATTACTCATGCCCTTCACAGAAGGCCACTCCCAGACTGGAAGACACATCTGAAACTATCCAAAGGCCAGCATGCTGAGCCTCTATGCATTCTCATTGCTTGGATTACCTGAAGTAAGATAGATAAATGTGTATAACCACAGTAGCTACTTCTCCTTCCTTTCAATTCTTGACAGGCTTGCAGCAAAATGGAAAAAAAATCTAATTACCCTTCAACATTATGCAGAATTGCCTATAGAACCCTCATCCAATCACACTACCTCATTACCGGACATGTGTACTCACCTGTGTGGGTTTGTTTTAATTTTTCAAGACAGAGTTTCTCTGTGTAGCCCTGGCTGTCCTGGAACTCTCTCTATAGATCAGGCTGACCTTGAACTCAAAGATCTGCCTGACTCTGCCTCCCGATTTGCTGGGATTCGAGGTGAGCACCACCTCTACCCCCATGCCACTGTGGTTCTGTTTTTAAAATTTTCTATATGTCCCAAAGTTCTTAATAATAGCTACATACTGTTTTATATTTTTATTTTTAAAGATATGTTTTATTTTTAAGTTTTTAGATTTAGTTATTTCATGAGGGTTTTGCTTACATGTAATGTATGTGTGCCACATGCATGCTAGGTGCCCATAAGACCAGAAGAGGGTATCAGATCCCCTGGAACTGGAGCTGTGAGCCACCAGGTAGGGGCTGGGAATAGAACCCAAGCCTTCTGTAAGAGCAACAAATGTCCCTAACCACTGGTCCATCTCTCCAGCCCTTTGCATATCATTTAAAGAAAACTATTTTTTTTTTTTAAGGAGTAGGGTTGGAAGTGAAGAGAAAGAGGAACGTCATCCCAATGAAGAGAAAAGGTGGTAAGACGTGAGTAACTGTTGGAAAGAAGCTTAACAATCCAAGACCAATGGTACCGGTCTGAGGTCACCTTGCCAGCCACTCCTGGTCTCTCAGTCCTGTACCTCCTTGAATCTCTGTCAGGGCAGAATTAGCTGCATTCCTTCATCTGTGATGACAACAGCAGACAGAAAGCATGGAGTATAGGACATCAAACAGAGAGTGAACCCTGGAAGACCCCGCCTATCCCTGTGGCCTGTCATGACACACATAGATCCCAGGCATTCCTGATATAGGGACAATATAGGGACAGATGGACACTTCTTGAAGGATGATCCCGCACCACAGGAAGTACTTGCCTGTGACACAGCACTAATGTCTCCACCACTTTCCCATGGCACAGAGGATACCCAAGCTGCACGGGTTTTACCTGTTCCAGCAAGCAACGGTTTCTTGATTAAATTTTAACCAGGTCATCCAACAGACTCTTGCGCCTGCAGAGCATTCTCCAGGCACAAATTCTCCTGCCATCATTTCCAGTGTTTGGTGCCTGAAGGAAGAGAGTGCCCTTTATATCTGCTGACTGTAGGTGAAACCTGATGCCTTATGCATAGATTACAAGGCCCTTCAGTTATCCACCTTCATTTAAGAATACCAGCATTTGCCAGGCAGTGGTGGCACAAACCTTTCATCCTAGCACTCAAGAGGCAAAGGTAGGCAGATCTCCATGGGTTTGAGGCCAGCCTTGGCTGCATAGCAAGTTCCAGTATAGCCAACTAGGGCCACAAAAAGAAACCTCGTCTTGAAAAGCCAAAAGAAAAAAAAAAGCTAGCTTTTGTGTGACACCATGTGAATAGTATTCAAGTTTACCAAATTACCCAAAGCCCTCCTGATTCAATGCATGTTTTCTTTAACCTGTCTTTGGCTCCTGCCCCTCCATCTAATTGTTAGTGATTTGGACAGTTTCTACTCATTTGTCTCTACCATACATTCCCCAATCTCTTCCCGGTTCAGAGAGTAATCTCTCCCCCATTTGGGTCTTTCCCAGCCGGCAGGAATGTATCAGGCTATCATATTTCCATCTAGTTGATTGTTCAATTTCCTTATCACAGTTCTAACCTTATCATATGTGCACACACATACACACACACAGCTCATTCACCACTGTGCACCTAGCAGCTATAAACAGAGTAGCTGTTCTCTAGATGTTTGATGAATGAGGGTGTAGACCAGCTTATCTCCTCCTCACTGATGCTCTCAGCCTTTCCTTCTACCCCATCTCTAGTCCTTTGTGTCAGCTGCTGCTGTGCAGAAATACTGTCTGCAGGAACCCCCAAGGGCTGCTGCAGCTGGGACTCGGGTAGGCAATTTTCACTCTCCTTCCTGTCCTCCACTACACTATCCCCAGATTTGCTTTTAGTCCTATAGGAGCCGGGTTGCAGGAGCCCCTCCGTCCACTCTACTGCTTGGGGACTCTGTCTCATGATGCAGAGCCTGGTCCCCTGAGCACTTTCCTGTGCCCCCCCCCTCAGCCTTTCATCCTAGCCCACTGCCATTCCTTTCTGCCACCCACTGACCCATAGAAACACTCTCTACAATGGACCCCACAGCCACAGCACTTGCCTGGGATTCACAGAGGGAAACAACAACCAAAGAACAGAACACCCACCCAACAAAGACAAGCCAGATATCAACAACAAGGAACACTTCAAATATCTACAGATGCCTAGATACCAATGCAAAAACACAAATATGAAAAGCCCAAAAAATGTCTCCATCAGAAGCAGTAATTTTACAGTAGACACTGAGAAATGCAATATCACTGAAGCACATGATAAGGACTTCAAAATAACAATGATGAGTATATTACAGGGCCTTAAAAGGATATGAGTAAATCCCATAATTAAGTCCATGAAAAAACAAATGATAGTTGATGAAATAATATAAACAATTCAAGACATGGAAGTAGAATTTAATAAAGAACCATCATTGTGGGATGTCTTTCTGTATGCTGTGAACATATGTTGCTCTCAAATTGGTTGGTTGATAAATAAAGCTGTTTGTCCAATGGCGAGGCAGAATGCTGTTAGGTGGTACACACTGAAGATGGAGAGGAAGAAGGGTGGAGTCAGGGAGAAGCTGTGAGCTACCATCAGGAGAAGCAAGATGTGAGAGGACAGGAAATACCATGAAGCCACGTGGCAAAACACAGATTAATAGAAATGGGTTGAATTAAGTTATAAGAGCTAGTTAATAATGAGCCTGAGCCATAGGCCATACAGTTGGTAATTAATATAAACCTCTGAGTGATTATTTTATAAGAATCTGTGAGAGCTCAGGTGGGAGAAACTCATCCAGACCGTGGAGCTAGGTGGGGCTGAGAAACTTGCCCCTACAAACCATAGTATCTAAAGAAAATCCAAGCAGAAATAAAGTACAAACAAAAAATTATGGTGTCAAACAAAAACCTCAAAGTTAAAACTCACCAACAGATGACAAGATATGAAAGTGAGAATCTCAGGTTTTAAAGACAAGGTACAAGAAATGGATACCTCAGTAAAAGAAAATGTTAAATCTGAAAAATTCCAAACACAAAACATCCAGAAAATCTGGGACTTTACGTAAAGACCAAATCTACAAATAATAGGAATAAAAGGAGTAGAAGAAATCCAGGTCAAAGGCACAAAAATAATTTTAACGTAGTCATAGAAGAAAATTTCCATATCCTAAAGAAGGAGGTGCTTGCCAAAGTACAAGAAGCATACAGAACACCAAATAGCAAAAATATAATTCCCCATAATATACAACGATCAAAACATTAAATATAGAAACAAAGAAAGGGTATTGATAACTGCAAGGAGAAAGATCAAATAAAAAAAAAAACCATTAGAATAATACCTGACTTCTCAATGGAGACTCTAAAACCCAGAAGGGGCTGGATGGATGTTCTACAGACGCAGAGACCACATATGTCAACCAGCAAAACTATCAATCACAATAGATGGAGAAAGGAAAACATTCTATGATAAAACCAAATTAAAGTGCTTCCTATCTACCTATATCACTCCACAGAAGGAACTAGGAGGAAAATTTCAATCTGAAGATGTTAACCACATTTAAAAAGACACAAGGAATAAATAATTAATCCCAGAACAATAAATCAAAAGGAAGAAAAATCAACACTATAACTACAATATAACAAGAATCAATAAAGGCTGCTCATTGTTATCTCTCAATATTAATGGTCTCAATTCCCAAATTAAGAGACATAGAATAAAAAATTGGATTAGAAAACAGAATATATTGTTCTGCTGCATCCAAGAAACAAATCTCACCATCAAGTACAGACATCACATCAAGGTAAAAGAATGGAAAAAGGTATTCAAGCAAATGGACCCAAGTTGCTAATAGGTGTGGTCATTTTTAATATCTGACAAGATAAACTTTAAATCAAAAATAATCAGAGGAGATAAGGAAGGACAGTACATACTCTTTAAAGGAAAAACGTCTATAAAGACAATATTGAAATTCTATATATTTATGCACCAAACTTGACAGTATAAAGAAACACTATTACAACCAAAACTCATATAGTGACACTCACACAGTGATAGTTGGGGACTTCAATACCCCACTATTGCCAATGGACAGATCATTCAGTCAAGAACTAAAAAGAGAAATGCTGGAGTTAAATAACATCATAAATCAATAGACTTAGCAGAATATTTCACCCAAACAGAAAAGAATATGGTTTCTTCTCAGCAGCTCTTGGAACTTTCTCCAAAACTGACTACATACCTGGATACAAAGCATGTCTCAACAGATAGAAGAAAATTGAAACAACACTCTGCATCCTGTCTGACCAATCATGGATTAAAGCTGAGCATCAGCAACAACAGAAACAATAGAAAGCTTACAAACTCATAGAAACTGAACAGCTCACTATTGAATAAAAAAGTCAGTCAAGAGAGAAGTTAAGTAAATTTAAAACTTTTAGAACTGAATGAAAATGAAAACACACATGGGACACAATGAAGTTGGTTCTAAGAGGCAAATTCATAGCACTAAGTACCCACATTAAAAAAAATGGAGAGATTTCATGTTAGTAACTTAGCAACATACTTTTAAGCTCTAAAACAAAATATAAGAAATTATGTCCCCTCAAAGATTAGATAGCAAAAAAAAATAAATAACCAACTCAGGACTAAACTCAATGAAATAGAAACTAACAAATATGGAGAATCAGTAACAAAGAGTTAGTTCTTTGTGAAAACAGGATTAACAAGTCCTTAGCCAGTGAACTAAAAGACAACAGGAAAAATATACAAATTAATAAAGTTAGAGATGAAAAGGGGGCATTGCAGCAAATATGGGGAAAGTAAGAAAAGAGTAAGGAGGTACTTTAAAAGTTTGTACTTCACCAAACTGGAAAACATAAAAGAAATGGATGAATTTATATATATATATAAATTTCACTAAAGTGAAATCTAGATCAAATAATAAGCAATTTGAACCGACCCATAACCTAGTGAAACAGAAACAGCAATTAAGTTTCCCAAGCAAAAACAAACAAACAAAAACAAAAAACCAGGACCACAGGAACACAGTGTAGAATTCTACCAGACCTTCAAAGAAGAATTAATACCAATACTTCTCAAGTTATTCTGCAAAATTGAAAATAAAGCAACAGTTCCTAACTCTTTTTAATAGGCCAGTACTACCTGATACCAAAACCACACAATGATTAAACAAAAAAATAAAATTATAGACAAATTTCCCTTGTGAATGTAAGTCCAAAACTTTCAATAAAATACTTATAAACCAAACCAAGAATTCATCAAAAAGATTATCCACTATGATCAAGTTAGCTTCATCCCAAAGATGCAAGAATGGTTCAATATGCATAAATCAATAAACATAATCCACCACAGAAACAGACTGAAAGACAAAAATCACTTGATCATCTCATTGGATGCAGAAAAGGCTGTTGACAAAATCCAACATCCCTTCAGGATAAAAGTCCTGGAGAGACTAGGGATACAGGGAATATACTTCAACAAAATAAAGGCAATTTATAGAAAGCCCCCAGACAACATCAACCTGAATCAGTTATCAGCCTTTCTATCAGCTTTGACCCTTTAATACAATTCCTCATGTTGTGGTCAGTCTCACCCATAAAATTACTTTTGTTGCTACTTCATAAATGTAATTTGCTACTGTTATGAGCTGTAATGTAAATATCTATGTTTTTTGAAAGTCTTAGGCAACCCTTATAAAATGGGTCATTTGACCCCGCCCAAAGGTCATGACCCACAGACTGAGAACCACTTATCTAAACGGAGAGAAATGAAAAGACTTCCACCAAAATCAGGAATAAGACAAGGATGGCTACTCTCTCCATACTTGAAGTAGACCAATAAGACAACTGAAGGGGATCAAAGGGCTATGGAAAAGGAAGAGGCAGATCATATTTATTTGCAGATGATAAGATTTTATAGATAAAGGTCCCTAAAAATACCATCAAAAACTCCTATAGCTGATAAACACTTT